ATGTATGCATGCATCTCGCAGGTACTTACATGCATGCATGCTTGCCTGCATGCACACATACTTGAGGCGTACCTACTTAGCTAGCTAGCCAGCGCTCCTACCTGGCTACCTACCTCCCATTTATCTACATGCACACGTATGTATGCCGGTTTAACTAGTCTTGGAGCCAGCTATAAGCAGTGTATTCCTATCTTGATTTATGAACAGCGGTTGCATCGCCTCCTTCGTCTACCTGCTCTTTTGAGGGGCTCGCAGGGCCTGGGGCCCTTGCATGATTGCGATCTGTATGTGTGTGTGTGTGTGTGCGCATGTTTGTACATATGTCTGTACACACACACACGCATGTGTGTGTGTGTATATATATATATATGCACATAGGTGTGGATGTTTAGCATGTTTCTAAACATGCTTTTCTTCTTTGAGCCTATTGTACATGTCACATTATGCAGCCTCCATGGCTTCCTGGCATCTGAGCCCTGCAGGAGGATCACGTGCATGTCTGTTTCGTTTCGGATGCTGTAAGAAGCGGAGGCCTCGCAGTCGATTTGCGGTAAGCTCTTTCTCGAACTATGGTGGGGACCTCGGTCTCACGAGAAGGGTGTGACGAGCTGTGCTCGAGTCGGGATTTCAAGTTTATGGTCAAACGAAATTCGTGGATGCATTCGCGGTACAGGTCCTTCTCGCGCTGTTGAATTGGGGCGGCTAGAATCAAATTCTAGTTCAACATCTTACAACTCATCTTAATTCTAATTCTATAACCAAACAATATGAAGTGAGTATTTTGTTCCTTGCGGATTCCAGCAACACGTTTTTTTATGTACCACAGCTCTCCGGCCTGGCAGCTGGTAAACGACGAGGAGGTTTAGGGATCCGCTTTAGCCTCGGGTAATGTGGAAGCCTGAATAAGTAGTAATGCAAGTTCTTAGGGTTCATGAATTTGCGTACAGTGCTGGTAGAGTTAAAATCTACCCCCCAAACCATTTTCTAAGTTAAAGGCCCCTTTATGGGGCAGATAAATACTGCAGCCTGCCTGCTTGCACATGCCTGTCTCAAGCTTGAGGCTCAGCCTCCTTCAGAACTTACTTTGTTCATGCAGACACCTCCTCAGTTGAAAGTGCATGTGTTCCGACATCATGGACCCATGAATGGTATATTCTCACTGTGTCATAAAGCATTGTCAGTGTCGGCGACGGACTCCCAACTTGAAACCCTATTCCGACTATTCTGGACGCAACTTGGGATAGACCTTTCCTCCAAACCCTATCCGCAGTACCCCTAAAGCCTAAACCCTTAGGGTCAGAAGAATCGACCGCCATGGCTGACAGCAGTCCAGCTGTGCCAGAGACACAGACCCCACCGGAAGAGTCCAAGGACTGGTTTTGGCTGTTGGGTTTTGGGTTTAGGGTTTACGGTTTTGGGTTTAGGGTTTTGGGTGTTGTCTTTGATGCTCGCTAGTGAAGACTTTGGCGGGCTATTTGTGTTGTTTCTTCAGGTGTTCCTGGCGTAAAGTTGTTCAGGTGGCCATTCATGAAATTCCAAAACACATGAATTCCCAAGAGTTGGAGCGACTGCGTAACAGGCGGTATTCTTCTGCAGAGTTGTGGTGCAAAGCCTGCGCAGATCGTCCACCTACAACCCGAAGTACAGAAAGTGTCAAGCCCAAGCCACAACACCGAAGATTAAACCTCAGACGATGACACGATACCCCTGTGGCCCGCAACCTTCCCACAAAGCTCGCCTTAGAACCTTTTGCAGCTGCAGGATGAGATCCGCTCTGCTGAGCCCAGTGAGGCCACATCCTGCCCTTTGAAAGCCGGGGTGTAGGTTTAATTAGTAGGTTTAGGATGACATGGGAAATGTCGGAACGGCGGTGTGGTCTGTTGGAGGGTCCGAATGTTGGCAAGACCTCTGAAATAGTATGCCGCACAATTGTTCAGAATAACCCTTCACGAAGTGCGCGCTGTAAATGTTTGTTTCAGGGAGGCGGTGCCGATTGCTGGGTTGTGCAGGCGTGCCTTTATTTAGTATCGAAGTGTTCGTGATTGTTCTTTCTATGGCTTTTGAGAGGATGGGTGCAGTCGAGCTAATAAGCAATCAGTGCTGCATTACTAGTATTCATATATCTACATTATAATTGCCACTGTATTCTTGTATTCCTGTCATTAGTACATGATGATAGGTCGAACTGCTATATGCATGTAATTCTTTGTGACTGGTACTGTCTCAGCATACCATGATCTTGTTGTGGATAAGTTTAAATGTCTACGTAATCAGCCAGCCTTGAAGTAAACACTATCAGCACTGTGCTTTTTGGCATCGAGTCGGCCTCTTTGCTGCCATGACCCTTGTTGTGTTTACGCACGAAGTATCCTATCTCATACATGACTCCTAAACCCGATAAACCCCTAAACCCTGAATAGTAACCCCTCCACTCTTATTACTCCAGGCCCCTGCAAAGACTGAGCTCGATGTGGCCAAGTCGGAGGGCGTCCTCCGGCCTTTGGAAACGGTACCAGGCCGGTCAAAGGTTCCGATGTTCAGAAACGGAGAGGTCTGTCTGATTTCTCAGGAGGGGAACAAGGAAGACTTTAACACAAATTCAGGTATTGAGGGCTTGATTCAGCTTCAAGTGTGGGTTGAGTTCTTGCTTGGTGGGGGATTCTCGGGCTTTAGGGTTTAGCTTGCCTGCTTGCGACTCACCCCTCCCCCTTCCACCATTTCGGCACACAGCCCTGGCGGTCTCCAGAACCTTGAATCCAAGGGTAAAAGGAGGGACCCTTAATAAGGACCCCTAGGTTTCTACCCTCAATATAGCTATTATATACCCATTATATAGCCCATTATAGGGTAGGGGTCCCCATTAAGGGTCCCTCCTGTTCCTGTTTGGTTGTAAGATCCTTTTAAAGCTGGAAATCTTAAAACCTATCACCCGAGCAGGAGACACTGGAACCCGGGACCCCGGAAGCCTAGCCCAAACCCTCGAACCCGAACCCCTCCAGCACCAAGGTTGAGAATCCCACAGCCTCAACGCATAGCCGGCTACGGCGCTTATTAGGACCTTTTTTAGGACTACCAGTGCAATCGGTAGCTGCTTTCAGGTTTCGTGGCTCATGCTGTTGGAACCTTAGTTGGCGGCGCGCTTCTCGGCTCAAAGACGAGTTTGAGGTTTATGGTTTAGGATGTCGGGTTTGGCGGTTAGGGTTTCGGGTTGATTGTGTTGAGATGGTGGGTCTTCAGTGGGCCGGGGAATCAACACCAAGATTGGGCCCGTCCTGAAGATGTCTGAAGTCAGTTTATCATTGCGCAAGCTATAGTTTCATAATGTTGGTACATTCAGCTGTGTATTTGTTATGATCCTTAATTAACCCTAAACTTCAAATTTCCAACGACAAAGCCCCTGAATCCTGAAGGCCCCTTTATGGAACCTTCTTAAATAACCCTTATGGCCTTGTACAACTCTCTAAAACCCTATAAAACTCTTATAGGCCCTTGTAACACCTTTATAAGACCCTGTAAAACCCTCATAAGAAAACCCTTCGATGACTCCCCTTATACGACCCTTCAGAGACCTTAAAAGACCTTATCAAGCTTCATAAAACCTTGTAAAACCTATAAAAGACGTACTTGGAGGGTCAGGGGACTTAGTAAGTAAGGTTACAAGTACCCTAATTGGGGTTGTAAGTATAGTTACCTTATTCCCCACCCTCGGTGTGGGGTTGTTAGATTTTAAAATCAGCTATTACTCTTCGCCCGCTGAGACTACTAACAGAGACAGGTGCCCAACCCCACAGACTACCGTGAGCGCCCAACCCCACAGACTATCGTGAGACTCCCTGAAGTGCCCAAATTCACAGACCACCGTGAGACTACCTGGAGTGCCCAACCCCACAGACTACCGTGAGACTACCTGGAAGCCCCCAACCTCAGACTACCGAGTACCGTGAGACTACCTGGAGTGCCCAACCACACAGACTACCGTTTTATTGCCGTTGGCCTATACAGTAGTTTGTGTAGGCCTCGCAAATGCGTTATGTGTAGGGTGGGGATGTTCGAAGCAATATAATTTATAACCCTAGCTACGAAGCCCCATAAGTATAAAACTCCATAACTGAAACCCAATAGGTCGCTTGGCGCCGGCTGGGCCGTGGGTCGCGCTGAAGAGAAGCTGGGTCGACGCCAGGCGCTCCAAAGGGATCGGTGAGGGTAAAAAAAGGGCCAGGCTTCCTTCAAAGGGGTCTATATGGGTTACTATAATAAGGGTTACTATAAGGGTACTATAATGTAGGGACCTTAATAGTTAGACCAGGGTTTAGGGGCACATTGTACATACTTATGATAAGGAGCCCCCCCGAAAAGGGTAGTATGGAGGCCTACGTGGCTTAAATAGTCACCTATACTATTTGGGGGTTCCTTAACATGAAAAAAAGTATAATATACCCCAAATCCCTGTAATAGTTAAGGCCCCTACATTACAGTAACTTATTGGCCGGAGACTTAGTAAGCAGGTTACAGGCAGAGTTAGAAGTACCCTGAATGGAGTTAGGTAACCCTACTTATTGCCGACTTACTAAGTCCACCGGGCCTCCAAGTTTTACAAGAGGTTTTCAAAGGCTTGTGTAGGCTTTCAGGGATGCTTAGGGGTTCTGCGACCTCACCTGTTCAAGTGCCGCACTGGTTTCATCTGGGTGCTTTGCTCTACGTGAGCAGGGCCTTCTGGGTCGCGATGCCACAGCAGCGCCTTCGATAAGAAAGATAACATAGAGGCCTTCATAATTACCTGTACCTATACTATGTTGGGGGTTCCTTGTTATAGTTATAAGGGCCCCAAAACCATAGTCTAATTATTAAGGCTGCTATATTAGCATTCTCAAAGAGTGGAGCAAAAGCTGGCCAGCCCTGCGGCAGATATTCTGCTCTTCACCAATTCCCGACTCAGGATACTACCTACCCAAGCTGTCCCTGCAGCGTCCCTATAGGTCACAGACTCGGCGGCTTTTAAGATGGGCTTCCGACACTCGGCGTGGTGTTTTCAGTTGGATTTGATTCAGCCTTCATGCTCAAGATCTGTATCGGGATCTCTATGGACTCATGCGGGCGACAAATCTGAAAGTGAGCGATTCTTTTTCAGTGTCGCTCTGAGGCACTTGGCTGTATGCGAACGGAATTTGGCCTACGATTCTCTGCGAGTCCGGGCCGTATGGCGCCTCGGCCTGAAAGCCTTTCTGCGTCCTTTTCTGTCCGGCCGTAGGAGCGTAGGAGCGGGGGCACTTTGGAGCATAGTAATAGACCTTTAGGGTTTAGGGTTTAGGGTTTAGGGTTTAGGGTTTACCTATGCAGTGAGTGGATAGTGAGATGTATGAAGCCTGAAGGCAGCAACAAGCGATGCGTTGCGAGGAGTACTGTGCCCAGCCTGGCTTACCTGTGCTGTTCCGAACCTTTCCGAATTTTCGTCATGGTGCCCTCTCTTATCTCCCGTCGCAATATCCTCTGCTTTAAACTCTACTGAACTATACCAGATTGGCTTAAACGATAGTATACTAAAACTCTTACCCTACTATACTATGCTGCACGATACGGTGCGACCTCCAGGAAATGACTTCGGGCCCCTCCCGAGCGATCCGGAGGTGCGGCAACGGATGCCTCTCGGCGTGAGCACTGGGATTGGTGATAGGAAACGATCATAGGATCATTGCGGTATGAAACTAAACAGATACATGAGCACAACATGGATAAGCGGATAAACTGTTCACAGAAGTTCATACACCATGACACTTAAACTAGCAAGGACCGGCACACACACACACATACACATGTACATACACTCATACATACATGCATACATGCATTCGTATTGTGCTTTACTGTTTATTTATGTTCACATACATGCATGTGTTATGGCCACTGCGTGGAAGAGACAAGTGGTGCTGCAGAGCGTAGCTTGTGGAAGCCATGTTCTTGCCAGCTCAAGCAGTGCCCATGACATTCACCCCAAGGCTACGTGCCACGCCGCTGATCGTCAGCAGCACGGCAGCATGGAGTTGAGGATTTTGCCGGGTGTTCTACCTGGCACAGCTGTTCTGCCCTTGTGATGTCGATTTCGTGTGGCGCCGGCCAGAAGCGAGGCAACCACGTGAGCTACCTGGAAGCATGGCAGCAATACGCAGGCATCAGCGTTTGCTCCGTTTGCAAGTTGAAGGCTCTCTGCCGAGCTTCAGCAAGACGGCAATTAAAACGTTCAGTGTTTGCCCTGGTGGAAGTCTTGATGTTTGCCTGCGGCCGGGCTGTCGCCGAAGCATTGCTAAAGACTGCGAGGCCTTTCCAGTATTGTGTCTCGTAGCAGGCCAGAAAAGGGTTGCGTTTTGAGGCCAGCTCCAGAGCCATCCCATACCATCTTAAGTCGACCTGGCCCATAAACCCTCAAAATTGACTCAAAATCCATACCTTGAAAACCTAAACTAAACCCTTAACCTAAGCCCCAAGATTCCCACTTGCCGAGGACACGGTAGTGCTGCCATGGGTTCTGGAGGCTCGGGCCTGCGGCATGTCAATGTGCACATTTTGTACATACACACACACACACACACACATCTACGTATACACATGCATCAATCTGCAAATCCTTACAGTTACCGTATCGTTCATATGCACATATGCATACGCGGACGCACATATACACAGCTATCTGTATACAATAGACATACAACTGCCTACCTCTCTCTACCTACCTACCCACCTATCTAGCTACCTACATGCACATATACATATACATATACGTATACATACGCATATACATCTATATGTACATATACCTACTCATACATGCACGCATGAAGGTATTGTTGATGGACAAAATCCTGCATGACCCTAAGGACTCTAAACTATGGGAACTATGGTATATTCCTTATATATAAAGGGTAATGCAGGATTTTGTCCATCAGCAGTCTCATCCCTAAAGTCCCAAGAAAGCCCCAAGTTGCCCCTGCCCTGAACCGTAAACCCTAAACCCTAAACCCTAAACCCCTGCCCTGTCAGGTCCCGAAGCTCGTGGCCATGGCTGAGGTGGCCTCATGGCCGCTTTTTGGCCAACTTTGCCAGGACGCCGGGGCCCCTTTTTAAAAGGGATCCTTACTATACGAGCTTCCATAATGGCTCCTTTGAAACGGGATCCGAAAAGAGTAGGGTTTAGGCTTTAGGGTTTAGGGAATACAGCGGCCTTCACAGTTAGAATAGGGTTTTGGGGCAGAATGGAATAGAAATATAATGGGCCCCTTTTAAAAGGGATCCTATATGGGTTTCCATAGTAATTCCTAAAAGGGTTCCTACAATGGCCTTCAGGGTATTGGATTCAGGCTTTGTTCGCCAGGACGCACGGAGCTGGTGTAATGCAGGGGCCCTTAATAGTTAGACTGGAGTTCCATTGAAGGATTCTGTAAGGGATCGGCAATAGGGTTCTGTAGTGCGGGGGCCGAGAAAGTAGAAGAGGGTTTTGGGGTATCATGTACGATAATTACAATTAAAAAGGAACCCACCCCAAAATAGTATAGGTGAGCTTAGTATTGCAAGCGGCTCAGGCATTTCACACTTGTCTAAGGGTCGTTTGTCCTATCTAAGCCCTACTCCCTGAACTCTAAGCCTCCAGGCCTTAAACACTAAAGGATTGATAATG